TTGGCTGGGTAAGTAGCCAGCAAACACGAGAGGAATCAGACCATGCCAGACTTAGCTAGCTGTACACAATCCATCGCTGATCCATCTGCAGCACATGATATTCGCTGGTTTCCCTGCTCCAGACTGGTTGGGAGAGGGGTACTTGAAGGAATGGGAAGCTGTGTCTCCACAGCTGAGTGGTTTCCTAGCTTTGTGTCAGCATGGTGTGCCTTCTGGCTGCTCAAACACTCCTAAACCCCAGCCCCTCCACATTCACATCACTGTAATTCAATGCACTTATTTATTGGGTAGATGCATTGTAGAAAATTCAGCTTTTGCTCACTTCTAAATACAACAACCTAAAGTTACRTGTCTTGGACAACCCAGTGAGCAGTGCCTGGGTGTAAGGAACCTCCAGAGACGTCCTCCCTCCCTCATGGGGGTTTGTGGGAATCAAACTGTGGGTGCAGCAGGGTATCCTGAGAGCTCGTTCTGCCTTAATGTACATTTTGTTTGGAAGAAAGCAAATGTGTGTCTCTGCTTATAGGCCTGGACAGGTGCATTTTGAAACCTGAAACTCAGTCTAGGAGGTTCTGCACCACCCAGCGATGCTCCAGGAGCAAAGTGGATCACTCAGATGAGACAGATCTTAGTGGAAATGAACTGTCCTGGCATAAAGCTACCGTAACTCAGGGCTATCTATAGCTTAGGCTTCAGCATACTCCACGCTGGTTATGTGCTGCTCAAACTTGAAAGGTGTTGGGATTAGAGCTCTGCTGTACAGACACATCAGAAGGTGAGGATCATTAGAGTAACGCTCTCCTATACAACAGTGATGCAGGTCAAGGTGATCAAGGCTTTTACCCATTCTCTGAAAACCATACAGGTCAAAGTTGTTCTATATAATTTATCAGCTTTGATTCCCTTCCCTTCTTATATGTCCTATAGGTGGGGGTTTCTAGGTTTTCCTTTTTATTTTCCACTACAGGCACAAGTATTTTTTTCATTCTGTTCCTGAGTTTCCCTTGATGTAAAATGAGACTAACGATCCTTATTTGCTTGGAGACCTACTGAAGAAACTGCTTTTGCAGCATGAGGGAGTATAGCAGGGCCATTTTACTCCAGGTTCCAGCAGGTACCACCTGCACAGCATTTCCCCAGACACAAGCAGTGCTGCCATGATCTGTAGCCATCAGGAAGCCCTGTTGTCTATCACAGGGTCTGGACACACAGCTTTCACTCAGGAAAACTCTCCTTGGACTTCATCAGGAAGTGTGAAGAAAACACAAGCCTGGGGCTGCTGGCTGGCAGGTGTGCCCTGAGCTGCTCTCAGGTGCTCGGGTCTGAAATGCAACCTGGAGAAACACAAAGTTGGTCTGTGGCTGTGCCCCATGCTGATATTGTACCATTTTGAGATCTTTGATGTTTTTGGAGGCAGTCATGACTCAGGCTGGTGAGCATAGAACCAGGCCCACAGWTCAACCACGCCATCTTCTCTCTTTGTACTTGCGCCGTGCTCATTGCATAGAGAGAAATCAATTAATTCTAACAGAGGAGTGGGCTCTTGGCCTGCCTATAAGTCACTGGGTACATAATTGTTGTGTTGCCTACTTTAACATCTTAGCACATGATTAGCACTCTTTGCCATTCCCGAGCTCCAGTGGCCGCTCCGCTCCCTGCACGGGGGGCTCTCCCTGTGCAACCCGCCGTGGCACCAGCGCTACATGCAATTAAAGGCCTCCCATGGCTGAAGCCTTCCCATGGACACAGAGACCTAAAAACATCCCTTTCCCTTGATTAGGCAGCTTTAAACCAAATAGGATTAAGGAGAGAGACACCACCACGGAGGGGAACATAATATGGGCACCGCACGGAAGTAGTGAGGAAGGAGTGGAGGACAACGACAATTGGCTGAGCAACTCACCCATCCTTTTTTAAAAGGGCTTTGAAAATATAGAAAAAAAATCTCCCTCCAAAATTATATTTGAACAACTGAAAATGCACATATTTAAATYTCAAGTTTGAAAAACATATATTGCCCGAAACCGAAATCTTTSAGGCACTGGAAATCAAGGAAAAGTTAGTTATGGCTTGTGAGCTTTTTGTCTCTGGAAACAAAGAATTCATGGTCAATAAACAAGCAGCTCAGAATCCCCCCCTTTTTAACAAAGAAAAGTCTTTTCTTATGACTATTCTTGCTGGATTAGGAAACTGAAAAAAAAAAAAATCAAACAGGCAACAAATAATTTTACCATTACCAGGTAATATGTGTTAATTGCTCAGTTTATATACTCTGAATGACATACCATTAGAGACTGTGTATGCATTGTAACTAGAGCATTAATAAATTTAAAATGTGCCTATTAGGATGACAGCTTTGGAGGTGCAAAGGAATAACAGTTATCACTTGGCAGAAGCAGATCTCACCCCATCTGCCGAGACTTTGCATACATTTTCAGCTTCCTGAGCAATGATTAGGGCTGTCAGAACCTCTTTAACCTTCTAACTGCTGGTCCCAACTGGCCTTAATTAGAGACTAATGAATTCAGAAGATGCAGGCCGTGAGGAAAACTGCCTTGACAGTTTGTGTACAAATTAAGCACCAATTACTTCATGCATCTTTTGCATTGCTGATACAAGTCTCTGTTATTATTTTTGAATATGGTCATTTTAGCATAAACCGAGAACCTTGCTAATGTATTTTGTCATTTTTATGGCTCATCATAAAAAAAAAAAAAAAGAATACCAGGAGGGTCATGAATATGTGAAATAAACTACTGTAGATGATAAAAAGAAATTCATTTTCCTCTAGGGAATATCTTCCAACATTTTTCCCCTTAATATAATATTATTATTATGATTAGTCACATAATGATCGCAGTTTAAGAAACAGGCGTAGCATGGTCCTCTGAATATTTTTATTAGGAATATAGCTGCTGTTATTAGCACAAGAAGGAAAACAAAGATACATGTAAGAGTTTTTCAGTTCTGGGATCTCAGAAAAACTTCTGCACCCACACRTCTTAGCAGGAGGCTGCTGATGCCGTCACAATTAGAAAACAGGAGCACAGGGAGCCATAGCTGGATAGTGAAGTAGTTCTGGGGTTTAAATCTCCCCAGTTTCTCCCTCTTATCCATGTCTAGAAGACATGAGAGATTCAACATGGTATTTTTTTGAGAACAACCCCCAAGCCCAGCGAGGGTGCGCACCTACTGTTATGACCTGACAAGCAGGGGAATGTTTACCACATTGTCCCATAAACTTTGCTTAGAGAAAGTCTGAGCAGTCCTGCTGCTCCTGTCAGACCTGGAGGGAGAATAAATGTGAGTTTGCTGAAAGRACTACAGAGCAGTGAGGCTCCTGAGCTGCAGTGTGTGTGAGACAGGCAGCCCTCCAAGCAGACACGCAGCCATTCCTTCACTGGCCAGTCACCTCTTTCCRTTTGGACTGCTCCATCTTTTCATTTCTCCTAATTACCATCACGTTCCCCATTGCACTTAGCAAAATTCATCACCGCTGTGCAAACCAAGGGTACTTCTAACCCCTCCACAAAACTCTCTTGGCTGTGCTGCTGCAGAAATTGAGGTCAGATCAGCCTTCTCCCTGAGCATCTCCTGTCCCTGCTTTCCCTGTCGCTGGAAGGAGGGAGCCTCCCCAGAGGCTCTGTGGGAGGGAAGCCAAAGAGAAGCACAGGGATGGAAGAATTAACAGCACACAGGGAAATTTTGCCACTCATATACCAGGTTAGACTGTGGGATGTTTGCTTTGCAATCTGTGGCTGTACAGAGCTGAAGAAGAGTGCCAGCAGTACAAACGTCTTCAAATGCAGAGATGCTCTGTGCAAAGGAAAGAGGGACAGTTTTATCCCCTTGATRAAACCTCTCCCCAGAGGAGATGGAGAGCATTAAAGCAAACTTGAAAACACGGGGCCATACTCTCAGTAGTCAGCCACAGAGCCAGCATCTGTGGGTCTTGAACTTCAGTTAAATAAAGKCCCAATTAATTTTGCTCATGAAGTTTTGCCTTTGTCCACACAAACCCATGGGCACCCTCTCAGTCCAATCTTATTACCCTGTAAGAGCTTCTTCCACACAACTTTCTCTCACATTTCATCAATAATAATTTTCAATTTCTCTGATGAAAATGTCCTAGCGTTCTCATGTGACTTTTCCCTCGCTGTTCCAATCATTAAGGGTTATTTTCTGTTGATATCCCTGATTGTCTTTATACCAGTACAACAATTACGACACGTAAACCCAACATATTTTTACATGTATGACAGACTCCTTTATTTTCCTTTAAAAATGTATTCTTTTATGAGCTACCATTGCATTTAAAGTCCTTAGTAAATTTGTTTYTATCTGTTTTCATCAACCAGTATTCAATCTGGCCTCTGCCCTAGAGAACCAGATCTATGCTCCAGGTTTGGAGCTGGCAAGGTTGTTATTCCCTAACACAAGACACACAGTTGACAGTGAGAATTTTCATTGAAAATCATGTTCAGAGATGATGAGCTGAGCACTACCAAGTTTTCTAAGACAAGTCTAAGGTTTTGGCTTGGATTTGTCTGTAACCTGACAGACATTTTTCATAAACTGGTTCTGTCACATTAATGGTCTTTGGTTAAGCCTCACTCCTTTTCCATTGTAGTTTCCCTTGTTTATTTGCCAGTTCTGATCACCCTTTCCCGGTGTTTAATAACAGCATCTTCTCCTTCAGTAACACTCACACACGGAATGAACGCAGATCTGACATTGTCATCTGGGTTATCATTATGCTGTGTATGGCTCCCTTCTGTTTGTAGCAGTTCCTCAAGCTCGGGGTAAGAGGGGACTCRGAAGAAGAGGGAGGAAAGCAGGCACAGCCCTTTTGTCTGACCCACAGCCCTGGCAGGTGACGAAGATCTGCTGGTTTTGACATAAATCCTGCAGAAGGGAGTTTCACTTTGGCACAGAAGGTCAAACTGTGATGAATAAAAAGGTAAAGAACACGTGCACACACACACGCTCACACGCACGGGAGCACTCGTGTGTATGGACACCCGTCTGCTCTCCCTGTGTCTCCATGTGCTTGTGCAGGCATCCCACCCTCCAGCAGCTGGTCCATAATGACACCACAGGACATTGCCACCATCTGGGCCAGCGCTGCTTGCAGCAGGCTCCTCAGCCAGCCCRTATTTGGAAAGCAGAAAAGCACTGAGGCAGAGTCCCCTCTTCCCAAGAAGGTGTAAGATTTCTTTGGGACAGCAATTCCAGCTGTGGGGTCTGGTGCATGGTCTTGTCACACCATGACTTTTTGGTCACCTGTAACTTCTCAGGCTCCCTTTGGAAATTGTTTTGTGAGCACATTGCTCCCCACCTGAGGTGCTCCAACCTCAGGTCTTGTCCTCCTCACCATCACCACACTGCTGCACCTCTCTCTGGCGATGGCACCAAGCACACACCGGCCTCTGAGGCACCCAGACAAAGCAGAACACCTTTCCCTGGAATTTAGGAAAGGTGTCCAAAGTCGTGACTTTTCATTTATTTTTACTGAGTAAAGCTGTTGTCTTTTTCAGGTGAAGATATGGGTTTCAGTTCTGCTTTCAAGGTTTATTCCTTCACCTGGGTAGCTCCATTCAGTTAATCTACCCCACCAGAGAAGCTGGGGAAAGAAAAAAAAAAAGGTGTTGGGGGGAAGACAGGGGTGGAACAAGAATTAAATTAACAGCAAATTCAAAATCATGGAACAGTTAGCAGTCGTCTCAYAGAAGACATTTATATTTAACTAGTGTACACGGAACCAAAGCATCCCCTGCAAAAACAAGCACTCTACGTATAAAAATTTAAAACCACATTGATAACCCATCTGGCATCCTCCTAATTATGAATCTCTTAGTGGAGTAATATTCCCTTTAGAAGCAAAACAGTAAATACAACAAGGGAAACATGATTATGAATTTCTTTTTGCTCTGTTTTTCAAGACAAGCGTTCATTCACATGCGCACCCAAAATCTTTCTCAACTGGAATTTATTGAAGTAAAGACATAACACAATGCCTGCTAATTAAACATTTAAGAAGAAAAAAATGCCCTRTTCTCCATCAGGAGACGATATTAATAGGTGCTTCATAATACGGAGTGTGTTTGAACCCCAGCTGTCTCGCCCAATAAATACAGAAGAATAGACAGGCTCAGCTTCTCCCTTCATCTTTATGTGCAAGTCTCACCAGTCCAGCCTCGTAAAACCCAGTCATCTTGTGGAAACCAAGCAAAAGGCTCGATTGTCTAGAGACAATTTATTTGCCTTTTGTGGGAATGCGCTCTCTGAGGAGGTGCTACCCATACATGACTTTTCTCAACCCACACAAGCTCCCTTCCCTGTCTAAAAAGGCATCAGGAAAGTCAGGCAGTGACTTTTGGGGGAGTTCTGTCCCAGGCCATCTGGCTGAGAGTAAACTTGTTTTTGTTGAGTGCTGTGGACAACAATGGTTTGAATTGTTGCTTCCTGTAAAGTCATTATATCTTTACAAAGAGTTAGACCATTTTATTAATTTTGAAACAGATTCGCTCTAACAAGAGTTCTGGAAAGCACTCACAGAATGGGGACATGTCCTTTAGGAAGTCCTTCAGGTTTGGCACTGCTTTCAAAACACAAATTTCTCAAAAAACTTTAAAGTAGTGGGACATCATAGAGACTGAACAARGAAACCCCTCTGGAAACTTTCCGTGTTGGCTGTAGATTTAGTTGTCGAGCCTGTGGCACTGGAGAAGGCTCAACATGCCAGCACCCTTGGAAAGCCTGACCCATAGAAAACGTCAAGGCCTCAGATTAGTGATACTCAGGGTCCTTACTCATCATCCCTTTGGTTCCCTCCTTCCTCATTATCAAACTCTTCCCACGGCTTTTGTACAGCCCCTGTTCAGCTGAAATCCCTGCCTGCAGCAGGTACCAGTAACCTACAGCACCGTGCCAGGCTGCAGCTCAGCAGCAGCTCAGCATCTCCCCATTTCACAAACCCAGAGCTCCCCCCGACCCTGCACGCAGGGAGATCTCCCAACCCGATAGCTCAACAGACTGAGCTGCTCAATATCGATTACCAGCTTTAAGAAATCTTTTCAGTTCAGTCATAGGCTTATCTGCTTTGGTTGTCACATGGTCGGGGATGATGCCATCAATACAGATTATGAGTCTGTCTCAGCACCCTATAAATCTGCAAGTTTCCCCATTTCAGCCTTCCTAAAGCACCACAGTGGGTCCTGCCAAGCAGTGAGAGAAGCTGTGCGTGTTCCATGTGGAGCTGTGCTGGCTGTACAAAGGGTGGGAAATGAAAAATCCAAGAGAGGCTTAACAATGCTCTTACTCCGACATCTGCTCCCAGCAAGGGCATCTAGGGACCTGCCGCACAGGTTTTTTTTTTTCCTTAAAGATGATCACCGTGAATGTTGCAACAAATAATAATGTAAAACATTTTGACAGCCAAGCAAGCCATAAAACATTAAATCTCCAAGGCCCATATGCTCCCCTCTGCTAACGCAAGTGGAGAGGAGCAAAAACCCCGTGGAAGCTGCCAGGGAGAAGCAGTTGAGCCACATCACAAGTGTCCCACTCCYCTCCATCCTCTCTGCAGCCTTCCTGCCCCAGGGATGGGGACAGAGAGGACTGGAAGGGGCAGAGGAGTACCTTGCAGCCCTCTCAGCACCGCTGTCCTTCACTTGGAGGGGTTTCCTTATGCTTGCAGCTTTGGTATCCAGCAGCCCTSCTGTAGCTGTTGGGAGCCCAAGGAAGCCTGACTTCAGGGACCATGGCATGGCCAGGGGTGAAGTGAGTGCAAATCTTGTACTCCAAGGTACAATATTTGTATGAATGCCCTGAGGCCTGTGGGATTCTCCTGCTGCTCTTATGGCCTTAGCTGGCTTCCCTGTGAGAAGCTTTGTCGCACAAGATTGTAACTTCAAAGAAATTCCATGGGGTTTTCGGCTYTTAAAAAGTCCCACTGCTTCCCCATCCCCACAACCCCATTGGGCTGCAGAACCTCTTCTTCATTGACAAGAGTAACCCTWAACCCTGATAGAAGGGATCCGTTTGGGAATTACTTATGTTCCAATTGACTCCCAAAGCTCCYACCCTTGGCCTGCTCAAATGGGAAGCAAGCACTCTTAAACAGAGAGCCAGGGCTTATCAGAACCTCCGTGGTGTCCCCAGAGTAACGCATTTATTGTCACACGCCAGCTCAAAAGCCGCCATACCTATTTGTACCTACTCACAAGTTTCTAAACCTATATCCAAAGGAATAGCATGGCACTGGTACTAATGGGGCTCCAGTACAAGCAGAGTTTCAGAAACAGATGTTTGTGGTTCAGTGGCAATGCTGAAGTCCCGGTGAAGAGGCAGTTTGTGAGGCTGTGAGTTTGTAAGGTTGGGAGTTGTAAGGCTGTGTTTGGCAGCGTTAAGTCGGTGCCCATTGGATTTGGATAACTCTTCTCAGGAGAGAGGCAGCAGTGGCTGGCATGCACAGACACAGAAAGCTTTTCTGGGGCTTCCAGAGGGGAGGCAGAGGCACCTGGGACTTGACGTGCCTCATATTTGGAAATAGGTGAACATGCTCTCACATCAGAGGCTAAATACTTGGCGCCTCTCAGTTTTAATGAATCGTTATGACTGAAGAAATCAAAGGTCCCATGGGGAAGAGCTGCACTGGAACATCAGACAAGGAAAACTTGGTGTGGGGCTTTTTTTTTTTTTTTTTTTTTTGAAGATAAAATGAATAGAATTATCTTCATTAATTCAATAACCACAGAAATATTTACAGTGTAATTACATCCATTCTTTTTCTGTTCAAATATTATTTTAAGGGCTTCTTGGCATCGAAGAGCCTCTTCCTTTGAAAATCCTGACCCAGTGTCAGGACAAGAACAGACCTAAGTCTCTTAATCTAATGGCTGTTAGCGGGGGTGACTACTTTAGCAATGCTCGGCTGAAAAATGAACTTTGCAATAAATGACCTTCAGAGAAGAAGACTATTCATGTTAATTAGTAGCTCTTTTCAAACAGGACTTATATATGCATTAGGCTATGTCATTTCAAACAATGCCATCATTGTAGTAAACATCAAGACAAGGCTCAAGTACAGTTATGAAAATTTCAGAAAACTCTAGTTAGTTTTTTTTTTTCCCTAAGATTATGAGTTACGATTACTGATGTGTTGCACAATAGGATCTCTCTTAATGGCTTTTAGCTTTTGCCACTGCCAACTTTTATATTTAAAATCCATACAATTATGGACAATTTATAGGCATTATGAGGCTCTCTCACCCCATTTTTTGCACTGATTCTTATTGATTCAAAGCAGCTTTGAACCCGGCAAATCAAATGCATTTTGCTTAAAACATTACATTCATTCTTACAGAGCCCACTTTATTCTTATTAGTACTTATTACTTATTATGCATATTTAATTTAAGAATGCATGTTCTCCATTAAAAAATCAGAATATTCTGAAGTACTGGGAAGTGATTATTTTGGTTAGTTCCCCTTGATTAACCACTCAAATGTGGATGCATTCTTTCTAAAGCACATACATAACAAGAATAGAAAAATGGCAAAAGGAGGCTACCAGAAGGAAAAACATGAGCACAGTAAATGGATGCACAGAATAAGAGGCATGATTTGTACACAGCTTATGTCAAAATGCTTCTTAAAAGACAGTTATGGAGTAAAAAAATTTGCTCTTTAGGGAGAAGATAAACTTAGTAGAACAAATCTGATTCAGAATTGTTATTTGGATTTACAATAGGTAGAAGGAAATGTGCAAGTAAATTGCGTTATTCTGACTCTGCATTAATTTTGGGCTACATTTATTAAATTTTTTTAAGTGCATTTTAGGAGTTTCTTCCTCACTGCTGATCATTCAAACCCAAACACAAAGTTAATTTTAAAAGCTAACCTGTCAGGCATTGTGCACGGTGGCTTTGCTATCCAAAAAACATACATTCCTAAGTAATTAGGGAATTAACAATAAATGTATTGTAGAATAGCTTTTTAGCAAGCTGTTTAATAAATAAAGTCATCTGTGTTGCAAAACAATTAGCTAACAAAGGGGAAATTAATAAATATTTATAAGACCAATGGATATGGTTTGTTTAGAGCCTTGCAAGATTCAGAAAAGGCAAACAATTAGTTGAGCAAACTGCAAGATCAGGCTCATTCTAAATATCTGGCACATGGGAGTGTTCAGCATTCACAGCTTGGAGGGGCTGCCATGCTCCCCTCTCAGATCTTGATTTTGTAACACTAAGTACAGGGACTGCAATGATTTAGATATAGCTGCTGTCTTGTTTAAGCAGAGGGGTCATACAGACTTTTTGGGGTTTAATCTTTTGCCATTTCAAAAAGAGTCGAAAAGTAGAACCCTAGGCACCCTGCTAGGGTTTTGTGTGTACTTATGGCATTATTGTATCTGTTCTTTAAAGAAATGAAAAAGGAAGAATGGACCAGATGTGGGATTCATTTTATTCGTGCTCGATTTGTGCAGAATTCAAAGAAACGGTTCCTTTATTTGCCACTTCTGGGAAAACATCTTGAGTTCATTTTGTTCTGCTCGTAGACTTGTAGAAATAGGTCTGGAAAGGTACTTCACGAGCTCATTTTGTCCATCTTCCTGCCTCAAGGCTGACTCATGCCCAGTGCTCTCCAGCAGCACGATAAATTCAAGTATGMCAATAACCTTTCCTTTTTTTTCTTTACAAAAATACTGTGATAGAAAGTGAAAGGTTAAGAAAAGAGATAGYGGTACATCATGACTCCAGCACAGGATTCAACGCTGTTCTTTAGGCATCCGTGTGGCTGCTCGTGCATCCTGAGCACACCCGGCTGCGAGTTGTGAGGATACCTGCTCTGACTCCTGCAGATTTACTCTTTCTTCAAACAGGGCAGCCCAGGCACCACAACAACACCACTGCATCTGCTCTCTGGCTGCTCTAGGGCACTCAGGCTTCCCCCAAAGCCTGCCCCACTACAGTGGGACCAAGAAGGTGTGATGATACCGTGTGCTTCTGATGACATGTTGAAAGCAGTCCAGCACAGAGCATTTCCAAAGAGCTGCTCTCCAGAGCAGAAATTCAGGCTTACACAATCTATTCCAAGCCGTGTCCCAGAAAGAAAAATAAAAAATCATTGCTGGCCATCTGACTCCAAAGGGCACTGAAGCACGACACAACATTTTACAAGGAGAATAGGGGTTCCAGAGAAGGTAAAGTTTTTTCTGGTCCCAAATAAAGTGAGTATATCCTAGGCAGACACCTGGGATGCTGCAGGTTCTGTACCTGGTCGTGGAGCCCCACTACACTCCTGGGTATCAGAATTATTCACACGGAGAATTAACTCTTAACTGGACAGCTCAACCAAGCTTGCCTTTTCCAACCATATTATAGATGAACTTTTCAATCCTGCTTCTTCCATCCCATCTCCTTTCACTCCTCCTGACCTTTCTTCTGCACCCCCTTGCAATTCAGCATCTGTCCCCACACTCTGCCTGACCTGCAGCTTGGTCTCCACACCATGGGCTTTCAGAGCTCGTTGTCTTGGGATTGGGAAGCAGGGGGTGAGAAGAGACACCTGAACTATGACTTAGATATGAGACCAATGTCTTCACTTCCAACCCACCAAGATCCACAGAACAATCCTGCAGTGCTGCTGCAGTTTTGCTGCTTCTTGCCTTGACCCAGAGGGAAGTGTGGGGAGCCRTGTGTGTTGGAGCAGAGGCACAGTCTTGGAAAAGAGTGGCCTGTGACTGGGGGTACTGGGAGGAAAACATGCAGATAGTTTAATCCTTCTCACATCCCTGTTCCTCCCAGCCCCWGCTCGTGGGTTTGAAGCATTGCAGTTTGCAGGGAAGGCTCTGCAAGGGGCTGCTGCCCAGCCACACCTCCCCTGCCCCCGGTTTGCCCTGTTCAGTGCTGGTCACTCACCAACTTCGCCCAGCTCCTCAGGGACATTTACACTGTGTCAGTGTCCCAAATAATCAGCACTCCATTCTGGGCTCAGGCACTGGCACACAGTCCTGGGCAGGGTTTGGCTGTCAGTGGTGTGCCTGGCATGGCAGCACTCCAGGCCAGCTAGCGTAACTCCCAAAATAACCTGCTGGGCAGCAGCCAGGCAAGGAATGAGGAAGAAATGCTGACTCTGTAGTAAAGAATGTGGTACTTGTATTCAGCCTAATCCAGCACTGGCACCACCACATGCAGCCCAGAGCAAGGCAGCCTGGAAAGGGCAATGGAAGCAGGGACATGGAGAGGGTGAGGGGTTCCTGGAGCCCCATGGAGCAGGGACATGGGGCTGGAGCCATGGTGGGAGCCATACCAGCCTTGACTGCATAAAGGATGTTGGTTCCTCATGGCAATTAGGAGCCTGAGAGGAGAGAACAAGAAAAGCGTAGAAGGTTGCAAAGGGAGGATTGTGGTCCAACAGCACAGAATAACRGGGCCCAGGCTCCCTGCGGTGATGCACCAGACCTACTCACTCACTTAACTGAGGCATTGTTCTTCTTCACTAGGGGTTAGATGGGTTTAGAGAATGCAATCATTCCTACAATAAACCCCCACGCTGGGTGGCTGCTGTTTTGCCCTCTTTACACTTCAAAGTCTCTGCTAAGCTGTAAGAGGTGCTCACCATCATTTTGGATGTTCCCTCTCTCCTCCCTGTACGAGGCAGTTGGCAGGAGACCCAAAAGCTGTCCCTCTCTCTGCTGGCTGGGCCGGGGAGTGGCCGTGTCCCACACTGASGACATGCTGCCAGCCTGCTTTCAGGAGCTGCTTAGGCAGAGAGCAGAGAAAGAGCTTCACTCTAGGCATTGTTCCTGGAACACTGATCAACACAACCACTCTGAGTGTAAAATGTTTAATCGTGGACACAAGTCAGGTTATTTCACCTCAGTATGAGAGGACGGGCCCCCATATGGATTATTTCCAAATTAAGGACAGTCATTTATGCCAGCTTTGGAACGATAGCTGTGGATGTGAACGCTACTGACTGAATTTCAAAGGGACATCTCTGTCCCTCTTCTGAGAGCACCAAAGACAGACAGAAATGAGTTTTTTGGGGGATGGTGAGGATGGAGGATTCTACAGCTGACAGCCAATGCCTGGTATTTATCCAATAACTAAAGGGTCCATGTACATTTTTGGATTAGAATCTAAGAGTCTATCAACTCAAGCAAATGTACCAGCTCAGCTGGAAATCTTGAGTATTGTATTTTGTCATAGACTTCTCATGGGCAGGATTTAATCCATGGGAAAATGCCTCMGTCTGTGATCAGCAGTGTCAGAGATATCCTCTGAGCCCAGAAGAGGCAGATGGGATACCCGGGTGGTACCAAGGCAAGTCCTGCCTCCCATTCCCACAGAGTACATAGGAACTTGCTCCTATTACCTCAACCCAAGTGACAGGATCCTTGTCTACCACTGGGCCAGATTTGGGTGTGGGAAGTCAGACACAGAGAGAGAGCATTCCTCCTCTCACTCTGAAAAAGCTAGATCAGCATTGAATCCAAACATGTGCACATCTGTGTAAAGCCCTTCTCTCTCACACCTCACTTCTCATGTTGGGKGCACTCTCCACTGGAGGTAAAGATGACACCTTTTTTGTGATTCTTTTTTCTTTGCAGTATTTCAAAGTCTTGTCATCCTGCCCAGTACCTAAGAGACTACAATTTCTGACGCTGCATAGGATATAATGAAATTTATAGTTACCGTTTTTGAACTAAACTTATTTACCTTCTATTTCTAGAAGGCAGCAAGATCATAAAAAAAATCTCTCATGAGCCTCTGGCTTCTTTTAGAAAACTGGTTATGTTTGTGGTGAACTGAAGCATCACATTAGGTATGAAACAARGTAAAAGCAGATGGTCCATATTCAGAGCTCAAACTGTTGTCTTTCAGTAACATGACTAAGAACACAAGAATTTCTCAACTACATTTCTCTGCTTCATAGAAGATCTGAGTGAGCTATTTGCTACTAAAATGCCGCTTCAGAAGAGATAATATTTTCTAGTATTTATAAAATGCATTTAGCTTCTGCAGTTGACATGAGACAAAACTATCTTACCAACTGCTGGCTGTTTAGCATGTAAATTAGCTGGTTTACTAGAATTGAATTTATATGCGAAACTTTATACAAAATCCTCTTGTTTCTCTAACCCACTAATAAGATCAGGAGAACAACACAAAACATAGATTAAGTCTGTCTTTCAGATATAGACTCGAACTTGTTGGCATAGGGTACAATAATATTCCTTATAACAGAGTCCAAAGTCATGCAAAAAACAGAGAGCACTTTTTATGGAATGCCAGGGCTCTTTGTGAGCTCTCAAGGTATAATTTACCTCCAAACTTTTAAATAATTCTATGTAAATCTGTGTTTTTATTGTGTCAATAATTTACATGGAAAGGTGAGCCCTTGCCTAACATAAATTCCTGTGGAAGCTATCTATAATTTCTATTACAAGCATGCTTGTGCACTCTACATTGCTYGTACTTAGCAATAGAGGTATTTGTGAACGAAGGATTTCTTTAATGTTTTTCTATTCAGTAAAAGAATGCACAGGGGTCAAAGCAGGATTGATTTGAAGGAGTTAGATTTTAAAATCCCTTTAAAAATCAGGACAAAGGATACCACACTATTAAAATAAAATGCTTAAAAATGAAAAGTATTATGCATGCTACACAGTAGAAGATCAGATTTTTATTAATGCAAGTTTTAAATGCTGATTAATCCTCTTGAGAATCAGTTTCCCAAAGCTTTGGCCTGCATTCAAGTCTTTTTCAAAGGGGCACATCACTTCCATTATTCTGAATATTAATTGAACAACATTATAACTAAGGATACAAAGCAAGATTTAAAACATGATTACAGCTGTCATTGCTTACATCTAAATAAGTCGTTGGAAATTGAAGCTCAGGGAAAAAAAAATTAAAAAAAAATAAAAAAAATAACCCCCCCTCCTGCCATAAATCTCTCTTGTGAGGATGGTGGAGCTGCTGCCTCCCACGGCCCCCCCGTGCCTGGGCAGGATGGATGTTCTGTGCGCTGTGYGCTGACGGCTCAGCTGCCGGCTCGCGCTTCATGTGCTCCCACCACCTCCTCCCCCCCACCTTGCAAACCCTGGGTGTGTTTTGTCCTGCAAAATAATAAACATCCCAGAAAAACACCATCGTTTTCAGATGTTARCGGGAAGAGGGATGATAACTGTTCAAAAGACTGGGGCTGCCCGTATCCTCGTTAATTTCCAGAAAGGGTTTGTTTTATTTGTTTGGCATAATTCATTTTCTGACCCAGCTTCAGCGCATGCCTCTGCACAAGCATTCATGTGCTTAGCACTAAGCACGTGCTTAAGTGCATTCCTGAACTGGGCCAAAAGGTACCTCCTTTGACATTTTAGACCATAGCTGCTGTTCTTGGAAAGATGCCTTTTTTGGTGAAAACTAATGTGGGGTTACAGTAACCATCTAATTCTGATTAGACAAATGGCATTATGGTAGAAGTATTAAAAATTCATAGCCCTATTTACTAAGTTTATTTGTTGGCCATAAAAAGCTGAATCTTACATAACATAAAAAGCATCCAGTCCTAATGATGAAAAAGATATAAAAAGATAATGGTGCAATCATAACATGTCTCTGAGAGTTTGTACATCTCAGTTGCAGTTTGGCACATCACATAATTGTGTTGTGCCAAACTGGCACCAAACCACAATATGTTAGTGAAAAGGGCCTGCARTTTAAGAGGAAAATCTAGAAGTGTTAACTATACACTGTCTAATTATGCAACCTTACTGTCCCAGAATGTGATTTCTGAAACCATTTCTGACATATGGGAAGAGGGTAGAACAGCTGGTCATTAAGGTTTTCTCAAGACTATTTAGTAACACACTTGAATGTAATTAAAGTGCTACATTAAATACTGCACTTGTGTACAATGTATTTTTAATCTTTATGGCATGCTGTAAAAGTAAATAAATGCAAAGTGTTAACGTTTCTCCCCTTCATCTCCTAAATTGTTAAGATATAATGACAGTCCCAAACTGTGCCGTGTGCAGTACCTGAAGGATACTCTGGTGCTCCGTGAGCATCCCATGCTGCAGGTAGGAAGCAAAACCAAGCTGAATTGTGCAAGATGGATATAAGTTTATTTGGTTTCRTTTGCCTGAGTTGAGCCATGCTGACTTACCTGGACGTATTTCAACAGGCCATGTTGCAATGATCCCTTTATTGGAAGGCTTCCTTTGGAACCAGTCAAGGTGATGTAAAGCAACTTTGACCCGTGCTGGATCTAACGCAAGAAGCAAAAGTCTGGATACAAAATGCGCAAACATCTTTGCAGCAAACTTCACTCCAGGGTGTCCCAGTGGGCCTTCTACCCTGAAATAGAGAGTCAAAATTCAACTTCATACAGATGCAGATTACAGATAGSTTAGATTGCAGAACTATGTTTATACTCCACAATTCTTATGGTGATAGAAGCATCTAGAAAATCAGGACAGTTAAACATCGTGCAGGATCAGGGCCCAGTTATTTATGCTTCCCCTTCCTTTATTGGCTGCCTATGACCTGTATTTTCATTTCTACAGAAAACAGTCAGGGGATCTGTAGAAACCTAGGCCACCATAAACGAACTTTCTTGAATCAGCCAAAACCTGTGTAACAATTCATATTCTGAAAAATTGCCTTGAGATTGGGGCCTGWACTCCATTAATAAAGCTTGGGGATTTTGTGGTCCTAAAACCATGGAGATGTTGTAGCATTGTGCATAAGGCATATTTTTGAGGCACATTTTTGATTTGATGCAAAAATGGGTAAGAAAAAAAGAAGTTTTAACATACTTAGTTTAGCGTAAAGTCTTTCTCTGCATTAGGCTTGTGCTTCCTAATAATGATGCTTGTTTTACATTCTCTAATAATTCTTTTGCTTTGAAAAGAGAAGGCCGAAGTTTATTGAAAAGTTGAAACTGTTCTTGACTTATCATAAATTCCAGTAAATACATGTTTTAATTGACTATTTACTGAATGTGATCAAGAGTTATTGTCAGCTTCTTCAGTTCCTTGGAAGACATTTTCTCATGAATTCAGCACTTTCTAAAAAGCACTTTGTTCTGCACTATGGTGTTTTCCTTTGAGCACGAAGGATAGCTTTACATAGCATTTTCCAACACCAAATCCAAAAGGGAGGATAGAGGAGAAGCTTGTAAGRAGACAGGTTTAACAAAGCACTCAGGCTGTAGCTTTCAAGGCAATGAACTGGCAGTCTTCAGGAAATGAAAACCATGGAGCTGGAAACAAACGTGTGCCACGTTCACATGAGCTATCTGGTGACAATGATGAGTTCTGCCTGTATGCACATGTGATGAACTCAAGCTTTATTTCACTTTTCAAAGGTAGGCATAAGTTTTTATTTTCTCTGTAATGTAATATTGGGATTTGATTTGTGAATGGTTGTTCTTCGCAAATGAGCAAAGGACAATGGCATGCTGTGCTGGATGTTTTGCTGGGCATTTTCTAAATAAACCAGAATACTTCTGTTCAAATAAATGACACTTTTTCTCTCTGTTAATGATGCATCTGCAGCAATTCTTTTTTAAAAAGGAGTGGTGGCACAAGCAGCTGATCATCCAGCCTTCCTTATGCTCTTCATGGATGGATTTTGCATCACATTGCAACCTGCAGCTGGTGTGTGCTATCAAAACCAAGAAACACCAACCAATGTAGAGAAACCATGAAGGCAGGAGACACAACTTTCCGATGGCAAGTTAATTCATTTTCACAAGAGATAAGAATCACTATAGATCTCACCACGTTCAGTGTTAATTGCAAAACTCATCTCTCTGACTTAACTTTGCCTCATTAATTTCTTCACACACAGTTGCCAGGTACAACCACATCTAAGCACAAACACAAGCAACCAAAAACATGCTAATCAAGCTTCTTTTCTTACAGGCTTAAAAAAAAAAGAAAAACTAAAAGCACTGACATATTTTGGCATATTTTGGAAGAGATACTGTGCTGGTAGAGGCTATGCAAATGCTACAAGAAGAAAATGTAACTTCTTCTGAAAAACATCTACGAAACACACTGTCACCTCCATTCCTCAGAAGAGTAAATTCCATCAGGGTTAACCCCAAGCTGGTCACTTKTAGTTTTCTACTCTTAGAGGCCAATATTGTGAAATAAGGTAGACATAATTTCTTTCAAACCATACCARATGGCCTTTAATCCTTTCCTAAAGCACTCAAAGACATGTAGCCGCCATTGATCTGGACTGGGCATGGTTATTGCCAGAAAGAGTTCATTTCCCTTCTACTCAAATAATATTCATCCCAAAAAGGTTGCAGGTCATGAACTGGTTATGCAAGGAAGCTGCGGGGAGAAATTTTGTTCGTGGTTCTTGTGTGTTGCTGAGTGTAAAGGGAACTGAGTGTCTCTGCAAGAGGAGAACATTTCCTGGGTGATTCACTTGAGTCAATCCCTCACTGGACTACRGGAAAGATTGTGTGGARCCACATGAGAAGATGTAAATTGAWGGTGACCAGARTGCATGCAYRCAACCTGCTCATTTATGCAAATGAYACTATTCTTTWTTKTTTTCCCYACAGTACTGTTGATTTAACCCTGTGTAGTCTTATCATGAGCACTGAAATGTCCAAATGGTATCAATAATGTCATTACAGAGCAGTTTGTGTGTATAAGTGAGGTCTCCCCACTAATTTATCTGAAAAATATCTGCATCTGCTGTGCACAGACCTGAGCACCCGACAGTCAAACCTCCGGCTTGATTCCACTTAGCTGCACCCAAAATTAGATACTAGAAAAAAAACCCCATCTCTTAGACAATTAACCTCAATCCAGGCATTTCTGGTGAATGGGCTTGAACTGTCCTTTCACAGAGTGCGAGGAACCCACCGGCACAGCGCTTCATTGTCCGGGCTGACTAAGAGAACCATGTGGAAAGCAAAGATCAGGTGCCAGCTCACAGCTGCCCCTCACTGCCCAGCTGGCCCAGCTTGCCCTTCTCCTCGTGGCCCAGGGTGGCAGTGAGGTCAGCCCCTTTGCAAAGGGCTGATTTTGTGGGGGGTTAGCTCCAAAATTAGCCATAGGAGTGATTATTGTTAGATGCTTGCTCTAGGTTTAATGCATGCAGTCTTGAGCTGAACCACTTGTTGAGTGATGAGCACCGACTTGAATAATCCTTCAATCACCTGAATTCCTTGCTTATTTTCATTTTGTCTTTGAGAGGGAACTCCATATCAAAGAATTTCTCTTCTACTGATGTGTCTTCTCCTGCCACCAAAGAAATTACAGGTTTTGTTTCTTTGATTTAATTTATCACACTCCATTTCCCTTTCTAGTAATAATTTCTAATTATTTCRGCCTACTGACTCAGATATTAAATTGAGTCAAGACAAATACACATAATCTATTGATTTAAATAATATCCACTCATCAACTCTGCAGTTTCCATGTGAGAAGTTCTTCCCTCAGAAAAAAATGAAGCACTCCTACTACTGTGAGTGGCAAACAGATACAGCTCAGTTTCTGAACCTTCCCACAAGGATTTCTCTGAGCAGCAGTCCTGCACAGCCTGGCTTTGTTGTCCACCATGCTGGAGTAAATGTGGCTAAGTAAACAGAATACCCAGAATTTACCCATAGCTCTACATTTATTGGCCAGGGCTAAAAAGCAATGTATACCCGAGAMTGTGAAAATTAAACCACAAAGATGAGTTTTACCCAGATGAAAAATGTCTTTGACACCAATGGATGCACATGAAAACCACACATCTAGATGGGGAGGATTTTTGTGTTTCAGTGGTAAGGCTCCTTTTAAATTAATTTTTCTAAATTTATTTCTGCAGTAGGGCRACATGGAAGGAAGAACTGTCAGAATGTAGTAAAGTAGGTAAAAAAAAAAATGTCATGAGCATTGAAAGGAAGCCTTCAGCAATTTTCACCTCTAATGTTGGGACCTCTACAGGACACCACAACTCAGGAGCAGGACACCAACACCTCCAGACCCTGCCCTGCTAATGTTTCCTGACATTTGGTATCTTCCAGAGGGCCAGGACCACTGTTTAAAGCTCCATTCATTGAAGTAAAAAATGCTCAAGAAGAATTTAAAAAAAATTCAAAACTAAAAGAACTGATAGYAATGCACAAATCCTGAGAAACAGCCCTAATACATGAAACAGCCCTAATATTTCTCTCTTCGGGAACCTAAAAGTTTTTAAAAGAGGAATCTCTGATTATCAGTCAACAAATTTTTGCAGTTTTTTTTTTTAATCAAAAAAGAGAGCTTTTGTGGGAAATGCGGAGTTTTAACCAAGGATTTCCTGAATTTTCCAAACTTCAGCTTCTGAGAAATTACAGAATTTTCTTTTTTTCCTTTTCAGATAAAAATAATTTTCTGACCAGTATAATAATGCAGAATTGTCAGGACAGTTCACAGCCAGCAGATGTGTCTCCAGAAGACCATCCATGCCACGGGACTATTTACACCTGATCAGTCATGAGATAAGATAAGGCCTGTGCTGGACAAAGTCTTGAGGTTACATGTCCCTGCCATGCTTTCCACAGTTTGTCATTAACCAGCTATTGCAAGATGTTTGTTAAGTACCTTCATCCTGTCTCCAGCTCAGCACTGTCTCTCTCCCTTAATAACCAGGCTAAATCAGCAGGAATAATTAGGGAATCAGACACTACTTAGTGTCAGTACAGGGAGCCAAATAACTTCTCTATCTTTCCCTATTCCATAAGGTCACCCCCCCTCCTTGTGAAGCTCAGAATCTTCCTTAGAGGAAGGCACAATATGCTAACTCATAGTGATAAGATTTTTAGATCGGGCAATTCTTATATTTTGCAATTGGTTTCAGGCAAGACAACCTACAAATTGTGTTTTCTTTCTCCTCWTTCTAGCAAATTGTCACTCCTCCAGCACATACTGGCTCATTTTTCCTGAAAACCCAAGGGAATGAAACACCCATGCCAATTCCACATGATGTAAGTAGCTAGCCCCCCAAGGATCTCTTGAAAAGGCAAGCACTAGGATTGTATTCTGAATACTTCCTTAGCTAAAATTACCACGATTCATGCTCGGGAATTCTCTAGAGACAGATGTACTGTCATGCTTGGATAGTAAAATAGAGATATCACACTTCACAGGAAATTAAAAAAAAAGGAGTATTCAAAGTTTATCCCTGCCAAATAATTTTAAAATCTGATTTTTTTGCATCAAAGTGCTTCCTAGAAAGACGCAATAACGTGGCCAGAAGAACTCTGTGACGCGTGTGTAAGCACAGAGCGAGATTCTCACTCACAATCTTAGGTTCTCATAACAACACGGGCACTAGACTTGAAGTACACATCTCTTAAT